CAGGAATTCTTTATTCTCCACCCATTGGCCAACAAGTACCCAACCCATACCCTGGAATTCATCAACTTAATCCTGGACTGACCCAGCTATTGGCCCATGGCAGCAAACAGGCACAGGCAGCATTATCCGTAAACACCAGGAAAACCTATAATAGAGCTATGGTAATTTTTAAGCAGTTCACAGTAGAATTTAACATTCACAATAATTCGATCCAAACCATGGTAACATTTGCCACATTTTGCCCCCTTCATCTCAAACTTTCATACAACACAATCAAACTCTATCAGGAGTACAACACCACATCATGACCACTATACCAAACCACGCTCCTTTTCTTACCCTATAAAGAACATACTGCAAGGCATCAATGAATTAGATCACCACACTAAACAGAAACTTCTACCTATAGATGGGGAAAAATTCCAGGCTTTATCGGACATGCTGGACACACAACCATTTGACCCTCATACAAATTTGGTCTTAAAAACGACTATGTACTTGGCATGCTATGGGTTCTTGAGGCTTAGGGAGTTCACGATAGCAACCCAATCAGACAGACGTTTGTGCCTCACTATGAAAGACTTAAAGGACCACTATAGTGCCAGGAAAACATACTCGTTTTCCTGACACTATAGTGCCCTGAGGGTGCCCCCACCCTCAGGGTCCCCCTCCCGCCCGGCTCTGGAAGGGGGAGAGGGGGAAAAACTTACCTTTTTCCAGCGCTGGGCGGAGAGCTCTCCTCCTCCGATCCTCCTCTTCTCCTCCCCGTCGGCTGAATGCGCACGCGCGGCAAGAGCTGTGCGCGCATTCAGTCGGTCACATAGGAAAGCATTATCAATGCTTTCCTATGGACACTTGCGTGCTCTCACTGTGATTTTCACAGTGAGAAGCACGCAAGCGCCTCTAGCGGCTGTCAATGAGACAGCCGCTAGAGGAAATAGGGGAAGGCTTAACCCATTCATAAACATAGCAGTTTCTTTGAAACTGCTATGTTTATGAAAAAAATGGGTTAACCCTAGCTGGGCCTGGCACCCAGACCACTTCATTAAGCTGAAGTGGTCTTGGTGCCTAGAGTGGTCCTTTAATAAAGGTGAACGATCACTATATTTTATCGCTCAGGCATTCCAAAAGTAAGCAATCAGGCCATCCACTAGAAGTGCCCTTCTACCCTATCGAGACACACTGGTGCCAGG